GATTCTGAGTTCAATCCCTTGTACCACAAAAAAAAAAAAAAAAAAAAAAAAAAGGATTCTTCCAAATCAGAAAACATGAATAGAAAAACTGTAAAGTTTCAATAGATTTTTTTTCAAACTCAAAATAGCCAATAAGCATTTTTAAATGTACTCAACCTTATAAGCAATCAAGACTACACTCCTTTTTTTTATTAATTTTATTGAGAAACAGCAATGAGATAGTTTCAAAACTGATTAATAAGACAGTTTCAATAGTTAATACATTGCATATTGTTATCTTCTTAGTAGTTATTTATAGTACATGATACAGGCATGATATCCTGTTCAAATACTATTAATACAAATCTTTCTTCTCATTGAATTAAGAGAAAGTAGCTCTATCCTATTTTCTATATACAGATACAAAATTGTCCTTCCTTTGTATCCCCTTCTTTTGTTTAGTTTTGTTATAGATGGGGATTCCATTGCCATTTAAATATTGTAGGTTCATGAATTCAGCAAAATAATCCAAAATAGTCCAGTAGTCCATAATAGTAGTGGGTTATCCACAGGACTGGCAATGTCAGAAGTTGATGACTTGAGCCTTTCACAGCTCAGCATATTAATATGACTTCACTTTTTATACCTCTTTTTTATACTTTTCTGCTGGATTGTTAAGACCAATATAAAGCAAGACCTATATAACAAGAAATGTATCCATTGTATCTGATAAGGTCAGTCAAGTCCCCTCAAGATTTATCCCATTACCCTGTGCCATAGCTTGCAGATCCTTTGTCAGTGGCAGCCATGTGGGTGAGTCACGGCCATTGCTTGACCAATTTGCTCTCTGTGAAAGCCTGAGAGAATGTTTTCTCTCCATGTGACTCTCCTTAGGTACACTCCACATCATTGATGACATTGCCCTGTGGCCCCATAATCTCCTTGATCAGAAAATTTGGGACACAACTGAGTTACATGATGTTACAGTATAAGTTCTCCTATGTCCTGAGTCTTCACTGACCTTGAAAGGTTAGGGCCAAAATGTTGGCTGACCTTGCAGCCCTTCTTTTTCTCTAATTTTTGGTCTGAAAACTTAGGTTGTTAACCCTCCAGAAAAGAAGCTTAATACCCTACAACATACGCAGTTGGACTTAACCTCACTACCTGTCTGAATATCAAACATCTTAGGCATAACATGGAACAGGTATTTTCCATTTAGTATTGATAGATTAAACTTTAAGTCTCTACAGAATATGGAGAAAAAAATTAAAAAATAAAAAATGTTTTAAAAAATGAATAAACAATTATATTTTTACACAGAAATTTAGAAATCTAACCATACACAGCATTGTAGCAGGACAGCTCTGTGACTTTTTTTTTCTTGTCTCTTTTTTGCATTTATTACCCTTTCTTTAAAACAAACATTTACTTGAGAGACAGTATGGCAATAATTGGTATGTCATGACAAGCAGTACATATTTAGAAGACCAGAATAACAGGCATTCCAAGTGTGACCCTTCTATTACATATTGCTTTCTTCAGTGCAGTTGCTTAGTTCACAGGTATCAGCATATATAATTAATCAGGGTGAGAATCCTACCAATTAACTGCTAATTTCAAAGACCTATTGGTGTTTCTCAGGATCATTGCCTTACCCATCTTGTGCATATAAATGTATGGCTTTGTCCCTGTTGTGTGACCCATCTTTTCTCCTTGCCCTCTCCTCATTGTCCAATCCTCAAGTTCTCACTTTCCTTTTAATTGTTATGCCTTTCTACTTTTATTTCTTCTTTTGAGTTCTTATACTAGAGAGACTATATGATATTTACACATGTGGGTCTGGTTTATTTCACTTATGAGTATTTCTTCAAGTAGCATCCACTTAAATATACATACTGCAAGTTTATCATTCATAAATAGCTGAGTAATACTCCGTTGTATAAAAATACCACATCTTTTTCATCCATTCTTCAGCTGACAGTCATCTTGGTTGTTTCCAAGATTTGGCTATCACAAATTGTGCAGCTATAAACATAGGTATACATATATCACTATGATATGACATTTTCAGTTCCTCCAGGAAAATTCCCAGTAGGGGGATAGCTGGCTTGAATGGGATTTCCAGTCCTCATTTTTTTAAGGAGTCTCAACACTAATTTCCATAATGGTTGCACCAGGGACTACACTTCTAACTACCACATGTACCCCTTTTTCATCCACCAGAAAACTAAAACAAATAAACAGACAATAACAAATGCAAGCAAGCATTCAAAGCAACAAGAACTCTCATGCACAGTTGGTGAAATGTAGATTTGCACAAGAACTTTGGACAATTAGCACCCTCTGTAAAATAAGCAAGCCTTGCCTTGCCTTGCAAGAGGACTTGGCCAAGCCCTGCAGGAGAACTTAGAAGAGAAGCTTAGCAGAAGTCTGTTTGTGGATACTATGAACTTCTGGCAGCTTCAGGGGAGGGCTGAAAGGCCCTGTAAGCAGGGGACTTGTGCTATGCGGAGGCAGGTGTGGAAACGCTAGTGTCTGGGGAAGGAGAAAAGCAAGGTAGTGTGCTCTGGAAGCCATACAGTCCATCTAAGAAAACCCCATCCAATGTGGAGACTGCCAACAGGTCTCCTCATGTTGTGTAAGTAAATAGCAAAGGAGTTATACAAGCAGACAGATGAATGCTAAACACAAAGAACCCAGGGCTTATTTGGAGGAGCGTTCTCTAGAACCCCAAATGTCAATTGACATTAACCTTAGCAGAGGATTTTTGAACAAGATCAAATGCAGAGACTCAGGAAAACAGAACACTGAGAAAGACTCTACCATAAAAACATGTGTTAAAACCTCAGAAATATCTAAAGCGATGTCCAAAAACTGTTTAGTGAGACAGTAAAGCTTCTAAGAATCTTGAGTAACCCAAAGTAAAAAATAATTTATCTCTGTAAATGCAAATAAAATGTATAGGAGACCAGTAAACTTTTTAAGAAAATTATATTATCAAGTATGTCAGCACTGAAAGGAATATGGACAATAAAAAAGAGAACTTTGAAGCCCTAAATTCTACATGCAGCAAGCAGACTGAGAAAGCTCTTCAGTGATGGGAAGGATGATTAAGTCAGAGTTCAGGGTGCAAAGGTCAGAGAGTAGAACCAAGAAACACAGGAAATCATTCCCAGGAAAATTTAGATCTCTATTCTTACCAAAGACCTGCCAATATTTGCTTAGTAGGTGTTCAATTGTTCTTTGGCCTGGTTATTGCTGTTGTCTTTCTTTTTCCCTGTCTTTTTAAATGACTATAGCAACTATCCTATACCTGCCCCAAATGTACAAGTTTTATTTGAAACACAATGAAGCTTTAACTTTAAAAAACTATTACAGTAAAAGACCTAGCACCATGAATCCCCCTCAAAGTCCTCTTTCTCCCTTTAAACATGCTTATCCCATCATTCTTGCTATTTTCTGAAGCAGTTCTTGAAGTCCTTTTTCAAGAGTGTCCTTGCAAGATATTATCACCAATACACAAAAATGCTCCTGTCCATGTGACCCAATGAAAGGGCAGGCTCACGACAACATGATGCTGTGTCTTCAGCCATCTTATTCACCAGTGCTTGTGCTGTGTGACTTCTGGCTCTTCCTCAAAGGCAAAATGACCTTGAAAAGCAAATGTGTTGAATCCATTCAGCCATGACCAGGAAAAATAGACTCAGAAAAGAGAAGTTCCAGAACTATTTCAGAAAGTGAAAAATATGATAAAATAACCATGTTTGAAGTGAGGGCAATATTTTTGGAGGGAATTAACAAAAATGCATCTTTTATTATAATACATTTCTAAAGTAAATATTCACCATATTTTAATTATACTGTGTGTGTAAAATGGAGTGTTAATAAAGCCATAAAAGTATGTGGGACCACTTGCTGACCCACCAGATCCTCACCCCAGCCAGTGCCCAGGCCTGGTGTAGGTGTGGGACCTGCCACCCTCCTGCCAGATCCTCATTCCAGCTAACACCCAGGTCAGGCATGTGTGTGGAACCTCCTTCATCAGACAGGCCCAATGTGCAACCCTGCCACAGAACTCCCTGCAAGAGGCTAGGGGCAAGACCCACCCAGCTAATCCAGAAGCAGAACATCTTGCCAGTGAGGCACAGCAGGTTCACTTCCAAGAGCCGCAGCAGGAAGAAACAGAGCACAGCAGCCAGACCCAAGCCAGGCCCAGCTGACTGAGTTTGAACTTGATGATGTGCACTTCATAAGCTGAGATACTGCTAGACTCAGATCTGTGAGAGCATCCACTCTCTCTCTCTCTTCATCAAGAGAAGGGGCAACAAGTAACTGGGGTGAGCTAGTCTCTCTGGAAGATTCCAGGTACATCAAGGGAATGTGATCAGATAGAACTTAGGGGAACTAATTTAAATAAAAATTCCCAATTTAATATCTGCTTAGCTATACAGTCAAAATGTTTGCTCCTATGGTCTAAAATACAAACCCATTTGTTACAAAAGTTTGTCAACTGCTAAATCTCACTACCCATTATTAGTGTTGCTAATTGTAGTTCAGTAAATACAATACTGTAACTGCCTTAACCACATAATCTCTCTTGGGTAAAAATATCAGCACATGCTAAGGTAATAACTGCACCAAAGCTCTATACCAAAAGTCAGAAGACAGTGTTATACAAAATGACAAAAAGAAGGAACAAAATGTATTCTCAGACCCCAAGCCCACTCAGAACAAATGCAGGAGACACTACCATAGAAGAAATTGGAAATCACACACCTGAAATCTTTGAAATAATAGCATCTGAAGTAAAGAAACAACTGAAGAAAGGTAGACAGGAAATCAGATCAGAAAAGGTAGACAGGAAATCAGATCAGAAATAATTTCTGAAGTTAAAAAAAGAAATGATAATTATAATGAAAGAAGTACTAAGTGCTTCTAAAGAAGACACCAATCAAAAAATAGAGGAAAATAGAAAAATGATGGAATCCTTGAATGAGCAATATAGGAATGAAATAGATCACGTGAAGCAGAGTCAAAGAAATATACAGGAAATTCAAACCTCAATCACAAACTGGAAAAACCATTT